AATTTGGACAAATTAGAAAGGATTTATAAAAAGTATAAAAATGACCAAAATTTAAAGCAATTATAATCACATTTTGACCAATATTCTAAATTTAACAAAAGAAAAAAAAAATCTTCAGTTCACGGGAAAACAGTGATACCTTTATCCAACAATCCCTAAGAGAGACAATACACACAGCAGAGACCCAGAAAACCTAGAAATGTATGCACGCACCTGAGTTAGGGCCCGTCTCCGGTTCGGGTCCAGGTTCAGACCCACTTTCGGACAAACGGGTCGGGGGAATAATGGGTCGTTGAGACGAGAGAAGAGAAGCAAGTGTGGAGTACAATTGATCCGGACGTCTAGTTCTGTACTCGAGTACTTTCTGGGCTATTTGCTCCACTTCTTCTTCAAGCTTCAACACCTCTTCTTCTTCATCTTCTTCTTGGAGCACGTCGTCTCTTTGAGTTGGGTTCTGGTTTTGCGTTCGGGTTGACATTTGGTTTCTGGGTCGGGTTAATCCCGCTTACTGACCCTTCCCCCTCTCTATGGATATATATGAGGGGCGCCTTTTCGGTGGTCGGGTTGCAAAATTTGAAATTGAACGGCTTGCAGAGAATTACGACTGTATTATGACTGTTGCGAGTTTGCAAGTTGGGCGCGGATATACCCCACTTCACCGTCGAGTTGAGATCTCATTAAAAATAAAATTGAGGAAATTGCAACATCGACACTTTTTGGATTATCTTCTACCTATATTAAAAGAGCCCGTTTTTGGTTAATGTAGCTAAGCCGCTGCTGAGCCGAATGGCCTTGTGATTGGCTCGGCTAAGCCGAGTTTTTTTTTTTCCCTCTTTCGCTTTCTCCAATATCCAATACCCTATAATATATCTATAGTTAGCCCGCCAAGCCGAATTGCTATATGGCTTGGCTCGGCTAAGCAGTTGATTTTTTTTTCCTATACCCTTTCATATATCTATATCTATAGCTAAGTAACAAGCCGAATGACTACATGACTCGACTCGACATATATGAAAGGGTATAGAAAAAAAAAATCAACTGCTTAGCCGA